AACATGCTACCAAAAATATTTTTCAACATTGCGGTGGGCATAAACTGAAAATAATTAAAACCATAATTTAGTGGTACAATTTAGTAGCTTTTTTAATAAATAATTTCAAAAAACTTAAAAGAGGGGCAATTGCCACTACTTGTACCCTTAGACTACAATACAAAAACATCATTCAAAAAGTGGGCATTATTGAATACAAGCATTAGGCTTTACTATCAATTGCTAATTTGATAAAATATTAATAATGCAAACAAAGCAAAGCTGGTCCATCAAAATTTAATTTGCCTACTTTTTCATTGGCTCCTTTGATTGATTATATTAAATAGAACAAGATAAAAATTTGATGGTCATGAATCAAAGATCAAAAGCAAAGGTTCTTATAAAATTATTGTGAAATTTAACTTCGTTGAGTTGAGAAAATATCATTGACTTCGCAAAATATAGAAAGCCTTGATGCATTGCACACCTTTATCTACATTATTTGCACCATCACCATAATTATCCTCCAATGTTGTTTGGTCCTGTGATCTACTTGCACTTGTAAACTCACAACTATTAATGTTATCCAATGTATATGACTGGTAGGTCAATAATTTTATGTTCTCAAATTCTTTTATCCATTTATTCCAAAATATTTGGAATAATTAAATTATGTGAGAATCTCAAAATATGATCTAACAGCTATAAGTACTCTGAAATAGAAGAAGATAGAGATAGAAATTTAATGACAAAAAATTTCCTACTAACTTGGTGCTTATCAATTAAATACTAGTATTGGTAGTATATAATCAAATAACAAAATTTTCTCAATTGAGTTATTATTGAAACAATGAAAATTTTTAGTTTTTTCAAAAAGGGGAAGAAGAGACAACAACAATTTATTTGGACAACAATATAACTAAAAAGAAATACTTGCTGTATTTTCTTATCACATTTTTATTTCGTTTATTAGATACAAGTGAGTTTAACATTAAAAAAAGAAAAAAAAGAAGAAAAGTATGTCTGTTAATGTGAGCTCACCTTATTTAAGACAATGCCCCGTTTGGTAGAGCTGTAACTGTGAATATAAGTTGATTTTTGACTTATAAATTAAATTTTTTCTCCTCCATTCAAAGAATAAGTTAATTTTTGACTTACAAAAAGCTATAAGCTATATTATTAAGGTGAACTAAACACATCAAAATAATTTAAATTAAGTTAAAAATTGAAATAAATTAAAAATAAACCCTACCAAACAGGTAAATGCCAAGTTGACTGAGTACTCTGTTCATGCAAAAACAATAAACGCTTCAAATGCCAAGTGGGATACTCGCACTTCATGCAAAGGTTAGAAAAAATTGAAGACAGATTTGACCTTGGCACCAAATGACCAAAACCTAAACTAATAGGTTTGCACTTTTCCACGTAAGTTTTCATGACCATGTTTTTTATCAAGGGGTAAAATGTAAAAGCCAAAATTTATAGCACATGGCCAGTACAAAAATGAAGAAATTTAATAAGAAAATTAATGTTATGTTTTTGTTTAGATTTACAATTTCATATCGCAAAAGAAGGGGGAAAAAATAGAGTAAAAGAAAATGAAGCAAAAGAAATTCCTCTATTATGAATGTTATTATCGAGTGTCTTAATAACATTGATTTACAAAATTTAAAGTGGTTATATATTTTGGTTTTGTTGGGATGTGAGTTGACTTTTTAATTTTTTTGCTATTTTAATTTGGGATTAAAAAGTCTTGTTTGAGATAGATTTTTTTGACTCTTTTGACTCTCACAAGAAGGGAAAAAAAAAGGTTAAGATTTAGATATGACATTTTTTAGCTTGAAACTAAAAAGTTTTTTTTTTTTTTTTTTGTAACTATTTTAACGCTGTACCACGTCACTGGGGGTCGACCCTCAGTAGGGGTGTGTAGCATTGTTGTAAAATGTAAAAGCCAAAATTTATAGCACATGGCCAGTACAAAAATGAAGAAATTCAATAAGAAAATTAATGTTATGTTTTTGTTTAGATTTACAATTTCATATTGCAAAAGAAGGGGAAAAAATAGAGTAAAAGAAAATGAAGCAAATGAAATTCCTCTATAATGAATGTTATTATCGAGTGTCTTAATAACATTGATTTACAAAATTTAAAGTGGTTATATATTTTGATTTTGTTGGGATGTGAGTTGACTTTTTAACTTTTTTACTATTTTAGTTTGAAATTAAAAAGTCTTGTTTGAAATAGATTTTTTTGACTCTTTTGACTCTCGCAACAAGGAAAAAAAAAAGATAAAGATTTAGATATGACATTTTTTAGCTTAAAACTAAAAAGTTTTTTTTTTTTTTTTTTGTAACTATTTTAATCTCAACCCACTCCAATTCTATACGTCAAACCAGTGCTTTGTATGGCACACTCATAGTATAATACTAGTTCAATTATTTTAATAAGTGCCCTAAATTCAATCGGTAACAAAATTCAATTATCACTACAAAACAAAATTTAGACACAAAAATATTTAAAATAAATTTAAAAAAAATCCGATTAACAATTGCCTTTCAAGACTAACAATATAAAAATAGAAAAAAAAAAGAGAGTCACTTCTCATTGAATTTAGGGATGAACGGGACATTATTGTTAGGTTCGTAGGCTTATCACGAGTCTCATTTTAATAATCTGAATCGTTCAATGTGCAGAACTCATCACGTACTTCATCCTTTTAAAAAATTATGTTGATCGGATATTAATAACCCTTTGATAAAATCATATTTTTATTAATGGTAAATAAGATTTTAAAAATAAATTGTCCATAAAAATGTATTTTGATCAAAAGACTATTCATATCCAATCAATGTAATTCTTTACAAGAGTAAAGTACTCAACGAACTCTATACATTGACCATTCAGATTATCGAAATGACACCTATAATGGGCCCTACGAGTTTAACAGTACCGTCTAATTCACAAAGTAAACTGGAAACAATAATTTCCCTTAAATTTAAAAGACTTATTACTAAAATTATTAATTTTGTTTGATTTTCAATTTTTAAAAATATTTTTTAACTTTTAAATCAATATTTTTTTATTAATAGTAAACTAGTGTTTCACCCGTGCTATGCACAGTTTGTTTTTATAATTATTTGTATATATATTTTGATAATAATGAGGGGATTTTGACCAAATCTCTCAAAAGACATGTTGATTGAAAAAAGTTAATAAATGCTGATGAGAGGATTTTGACCAAATCTTTCAAAAGGTATGTAGATTGAAATTGGAAAAAGTTAATAAACGTTGAGATTTAAAGAAAAAAATCAAAAATTTAGAAGATTTTGACCAAATCTCTCAAAAGGCATGTGGATTGAAAAAAGTTAATAAATGCTTATGAAGGGATTTTGACCAAATCTCTCTAAATTTTATTATTTTAATATTTTGAAAATCAATTATTTAATTTTTATCTTTGTTTGTGGCCTTTAATCTTTATCTTTGTTTGTAGGCCACAAAATTAATCTTTATATTATTTATCAATTTTTATATGTTTATTTATCTATAAGTCATGAAATTATTATTTTTTAAATAATTTTTTTAATTTTTATCTTTATCTATAGGTTATGAAATAAATTTTCATAAATTATTTATGAATTTTTATATGTTTATCTATAATGAAATTAATTAAAGTACGAAATGAAGGGGAAAAAAAAGGAGTAATTTTGTTTAAAAAAAAAAATCAGTTAGTATTTAATTTTTTATCTTTATTTATAGGCCATGAAATTAATTTTTATAAGTTATTTATCAACTTTTATTTGTTTATTTATGGGAAGAAGTTTTAAATTATCTATAAGTTATGAAATTAATTTTTTATCTTTATCTATAGACTATAAAATTAATTTTCAATTTTTATATGTTTATCTATATAGAGGAATTTTGAAATTCAAATCTTTATTCATAAGTGATAAATTTAATTTTAATTTTAATTAATCAAACAAATAGAAAATGAAGAAAAATAGAAAATGTGAAAGGCAATCAAAGAAGGTTTCTACGTAAGAAAAAGAGAGTTTTAAAATTATGAGAATTTAGAAATAAATATTTAGAAGCTTTTAATAAAACAATTACATTTGGTTATATATATAGTAAATATAGATAGATAGATAGATAGATAGATATAGATATTTATATTTGTATTAGATTTTTTTAATATATAAATTATTTTTTGTAGATTTTTTATAAAAATAATTTAACAATCTCATCACTAAAACTCAGTGTATGAGAGAAGTTGAAAATGGTGTAGTCGTAGGTATGAGAGAAGTTGAAAATGGTGTAGTCGTAGGTATGAGAGAAGTTAGGGTCCGTTTGGGAAGATAGTTTGTAGCTAAAGTAGTCATAAAAAACAAAATAAGTTATTTTAGCCACAACAAATAAAACATCACATCTAATTCATAATCATTACACTCTTCTCTCACAAAAAAAGCCAAAAAAGCTAAAATGTTAAAAAGTTAAAATGCCCTTCCCAAACCAAGTTTTTTAGCCTAGGCTAAAAAAGTCAAAAACTCAAAAACTCAACCCACTTTCCAAATCAACCCCCAAAAAGACTTGTGAGTTAGGAGAAGTTAATAAATGTTAAGGTTTTTTTTTTATTTTTCAATTAAAAATTTAAAAAATTAAGATTGAGATATTGAAACTCTTACAAGTCTTGTGAATTAGAAACCATTTTTTTTTCATATATAATAGATAAATAGGTAGCCAAAAATGGGAAATTTCAAATAAAATTTTGATAAAAATACAAAAATAAATGTAATTTACCCAAACTTTTAATGCCCACTATTTGTCACCTTTAATGCTTTTGAACATTTCTCTTTTCACCCATTTTTTCATCTTTCTATCTCTCTGTCTCTATCTTTCCCTCTCTTCTCTCTCTCCCTCTCTCTCTCTCCATAGTTCAAACTCCATGAAACCTTACTAGTTCAGTTTTCCCCAAAACAGAGTTGCACAGAGACATGGGAAAGTACATGAGGAAAGCTAAAATCACCGGTGACATAGCAGTAATGGAGCTAGTCTCTCAGTCCTCTCTCGGCGTTCGAACTCGCGCCAAGTCCCTCGCTTTGCAGAGACTCCAATCAACCACCACCACACCACCACCACCACTACCACCGCCTCCGAACCCTGAATCATCTTACCTTCAGCTTCGAAGTCGGAGGCTTGAAAAGGTTCCTCCGTCTCTCAACGACCCTAAGAGACGACAATCTACTCCGAAACATGAAATTTCTAACCCTAACCCTAGTTCGAGGTTGAGGTCGATTAACTCCGGGTCTGTTGGGTCGGTCTCAATTAGCTGTTCCAAGGATGAGGAAGGGTTTATTCGTGAATTTACAACTAGGGCAAGCAGAGAAGATGATACAGAGGACTACAATGATTTGAATGTTGAGCCTTCGTTTGGAGAGAACAATCTCGACTTTGAAGGCAGAGAGAGGTATATTTGCTTCCTTTATGTCCATATATACACACAAACACACAGCTTTCTGTATTTTGCTCTGTTTTCATATTTTCTTTCTTTCTTTCTTTCTTTCTTTTTTTTCTTTTTTAGGGTTCCTTAGTCCCTTGGGTTGGGGGGAGGGGAAAGCTATAACCCTCTGTTTTATAGAAAAAACTCAAAAATAGGGAAAGGAAATATAAAAAAAAAAGAGAGCTAGTTTTGTTGAAATTTCCCCCCTTCCTTCCCCTGTTTTTATTTTTATTTTTTTATTATTTATAATTATTTTAAATTTATTTGATTTTTCTGAAATACATTCTGCCTTTTGGGGTTTCATTTTTGTTGCTTTTGTGCCAAAGAGTTCTTTCTTTCCCTTTTTTCTTTTTTTTTTTTTACTGGTCATGTGGGTACCATTTTTATATGTATATATAATAATAAAAAGCAAAAATCATATTGGGATTTTATGTATGGAAATGTTGAGCTATATTTTCTCTCCTAATCATGTTTGGTGAATGCATAGAAGTTATCACTTTTTCTTTTTTTCCTTCTCTTTTGCTAGGTTTACGAGTTCAAGTTCTAGTGTTTGATATTTGTATTTTGTAGTTTCATTCTTGCGATTTGTGATTGCATAAGTCACTTGTGTGTGTGTGTGTGTGTGTTTTCTTTCTTTATCTGTTTCAACATATACTACAAAGAAAATGCAATATACATAAATGGATTTCTTTTTCTTTCTTATTTTATGTTTGGCCTTCTTGTACTCTCTCTGCCGTCTTTATGTGATTTGATACTGGTTTCTGAGCCTTAATTTCAGCAGAGCATTAATAAAGTGGGTTGTTGCTTTTCTGACCTTACCCAAAAAAAGAAAGGAAAGAGTTATCTTTTTTTTTTTATTTGATCATAAAAGAGTTGATCTTTGTGACTCATGAGAGGCTCTTTTGATGAAATAAAAATTATTGTTTCTGCTGGGGTGGGTAGAGTTATGTATGATGCTAGTTGTTTTCAATAAACTGCTATTTTCTCAATGGTACCATGAAAAGAAATGAAAAATGTTTATTTTTTATAAAACTAGAATTTATTTATTTATTTTTATTTTAGAAATTTGTTCAGGACTTTTTGATCCCTCAACAGTCATTTTCAGAATAAACTGAAGTGTGAGCATTCTCCTTGAAACCAGCTCAAAATAGTTGTAAAAAAAAATTTCAGGTAATTTTGAGAGAAAAAACTGATTTGATGTTTGTTGTTATGAATTCATCTGACTAAGGGCATCTTCAATGGTGAATCAAAATTTTTACTAAATTTGTGTAAAAGATTCCTTTAATATCAAGTGTTCCATCAAGCGCAGAGGGATTTGTGATTTTATCAAACCACCGGTCGAGCAGGCAGACGACTGGCCGGTCGATTGGATAGTATAATTTTTTCACATTTTTTTGCCTTTAGGTGGTCATCCGGGCAGATGACCGGCCAGTGTAATTTTTTTCATAAACTTTTGCCTTGAAGTGGTCATCTAGGAGGACATCCGGGGGACATTCAGTGGTAAAAGTCCAACGGCAATGAATAGTGATATGATGAAAGGCACATTCATCTTCAGTTTGATGAAAGAAAAGTGAAATCCTTGATTTGATGAACAGTTGGAGAAGCAAAAAGTCACTGCAAAAAATGATTTTTTTCATCAAATTTAAATTTGACGATGTGATAAACCATTGGAGATGGTCTAAGATATAGCATATATCAAAGCCTTCCCTGGATAAGTGCTATACTATCTCACAACTTTAATTTCGTTCCCCCACTTATTTAAAAAACCCAATTGCCTCACTACTTTATTTCCTAAAATATTGTTCATCTGGGTAGCTGAGAAACTAGGTCTTACATTTGGATGATTTAAGTGCAATCATCAGTGATTTATGCGTTGGGAATGAAAAATTTAATTAGCTGTTTAGGATTATCATGGAAGCATCTGAAAAAGCTCTGCAATAATATTTTTATTTTTATAAAAAAGATTTAAATATCAGACTAAGCATATTTGATCATGTTACAACATGTGCGTCTTAGAAATTGTTTTGTAGTTTCACGGCTTTTTTTGGCTGTTCTGATGATCAATATTCATATAATTTCATATTTTATTAGTACTGCATTTTTAAACAGGAGCACTAGGGAAAGCACACCCTGCAGCTTGATAAGGGAGTTGGACAGCGCTGGGACCCCCGGTTCTACAACAAGGCGGACAGCTTCAACTCGAAGAATTCAAAATGCCATGCAAAGAATCATCCCAACAACACATGAGATAGAGGAGTTCTTTGCCTCTGCAGAACAGCGGCAACAGAGACATTTTACTGAGAAGTATAGTTTTTCAATTTCAACCAGATTACACTAAGAATTATCATGTCTTCAATTTGCTAATGAAGCCTGTTTTGTTTTCTTTTCATGTGGTACTTTTCCAGGTACAACTTCGACGTTGTGAATGATTTGCCCCTTCCGGGACGCTACGAATGGGTGAGAGTAAATCACTAGGCAGGACACAGATCCGTACAGCGAGGATTCTGAAGGTTAAGTAGCTGGGTTAGTAGGGGTGGTTCATTTCTACCACCTCATCTCGTTCAATGTAGAAGAAAAGAAGAAGAAAAAAAGCTAAAAGAAAAACAGAGCTGCGAAAGATGTGTAACATAACGGAGCCAATGAATTACATTACTAACCAAGTCCAAGTAGGAAAAGAATGTGGGAAAGAAAAGAAAAAAACATGTAGTTTTAGGATCTTTATGATGGTTAAGTGAACCATTGTAATATGGAGGGGGGCATATATAAAATTTGTCGGATCTTTTCTTGTTGTCTTCTTCTTTGCTTGCTGTTTATGTATTTTTTGTCTATATTCTGCTGGGGACTCAGGTGAACAATGAATGCTCTCTCTGGTATTAGTAAATTGTCCATCTTTTTTGCTTACAATTGTCTTTTTGTCTTGGTTTTATTGATGTCCTGCAATTTCTTTCTCCCTATGAAATGTATAACCCCTGCACTTCCAATTGAAGTATTGATGGTGATGTTTCTCAGTATATAAATCTAGGGTAAGATTGTTTTCTGCATTGTTTTGGCCTGTTGTGTGAAGTGGTGACAGCAATAATGGTGGTGGTGGTGGTGGTGGTGGTGGTGTTTGGTTTATTTCTGTTGTGGTGTGGGACTTTTTATTTGGTTGGTTAGATTGTGTTTTGGTTTATTTGGTTGGTTTACTCTTTTTCTTTTTTTCTGTTATAAAATTGCCAATGAAATTGTACAGTTTGTACTTGTTTAACATATTATGCTTTCGTTTAGCAGGATAAACTTTTAATTTTTTAGCTATTCTAGTCACAAAAAGATAAAATAGGTTTTTTAGTCTAATAAGCCTCCGTTTGGGAAGTGGGTTGGCTTTTTGACTTTTTGACTTTTTTTGACTATATGAGCCTGGGCTCAAAAACTTAGTTTGGGAAGGACTTTTGACTTTTTGGCTTTTTTGATTTTTTTGTGAGAGAAGAGTGTAATGATTATAGGGTTGGATTGGATGTTTTGTCTGTTGTGGCTCATGAGCCTATTCTGTCTTTTATGGCTCATTGAGCCAACCCTAAGATAAAATATCATATCTAAATTATAATTATTTTATTTTTTCTTTCACAATTTTTACAGAGTTCAAAAAATAAAAAAATTTATGCTAAATGAAATTTTTTAATCTCAGATTAAAATAATAAAAGAGTTAAAAAATTAACTCACGAAACCTATAGCATTAGTACCAATTTTCTTTGCTTTTCCTTATTTACATCTGTTTTTACAGTTTTTCCAAGTTGTTTCCATTTTCATGTGACAGCTTGCTTCATGCCTAGTAGTAGTAATAGTGAATAAAGGGGAAGTGAGTTCTTGCCCTACATCTCTCTCTCTCACTCTTTTTCTGGTGGTGGTGGGGTTGGGGTTTGGATTGTAATGAAGAGTAGTATATCTCAGTTTGAGGATTGAGGGCAAAATGAGGTGACTTTTTCCAGGTTTCTGAGTGTTGTCAGTGGCAATAGAGTTTGTGTTTATGTAATCAATTGTTTGTCCTTTCTTTCTCTCTCTCGCTCTCTGTATGTGTGAGAGTGTGGTGGTGGTGGTGTAGTGTAGTGTAAAAGCTGCTCAGTGAAATCAAGTGTTGGCATTTATTGGCTGTTTGGGAGCTTTTTCACATGCCGGATTGTACGGCCCGGCTGTAAAAAAAAATTTCCACACCTTACGGCCCGGCTGTAAAAAAAATTTCCACACCTTTTTTTTTTTTAATTTAAACTTTTTTGTATTCAACATAGATTTGGTGATGTCAGCTTCTCTCCTTGCTGTTTGTGATGGTTGTATTGTAGGGTTTGAGGGGCGAAAGGTCAACCTATTCGGACTGTTTTTGTGGGTCCATTTTCTCAAGTTATTATTTATTTTATTTTTATTTTAGAATTTTTTCTATTTATAAACTATAAAGTAAAAATAATTTAAATAAATTTAAACAATTAATTATTCAAATCGTCCAACCGTAATATTTATTGTGACGTCAAAACATTCATTAGTCATACTAACAACGGTCTAAGAATAACATCCAAATAGTTAAAATCTTGATTCATTTTTCTATATATTTTCAAGTAGTATTTTTTTATATTTTGTAATTTTTTACAAATTTAACGTCTTTCTTCTTCATTTCGTGTTAACTCTTAACTTGACATTTTGATAGGACAGGATTTTATTTTTGTAGACTCTGTGCTTGCATGGGATGCCCACTGTTGTCAAAAAAAACCTTATATTTTCTATTAAATTAATTGATTTCTTTAAGTCAACAATAACTAAGTTTTCCCAGTTTGCATGGAATATCATTGGAGTAAAAAATAATAATAATAATAATAATACTCCTCTAATAATAACTTCTACAGTATTAAAAACTCTGTGCTCTTTTGGAAAGCTGATAAAAAGTCAACTTCTAACTTTTTATCAATTTTGAGTAACATCACCTCTCACATAACTTATCCAAAAAAAATATAAAACAAATTAAAAAATTAATTTTTTACTAACTTTTCAAAACACTCCACTTAAAAATTAGGGGCCACAAGGATTTGGTCTGCATAGTGAGTGGCAGAGTTTGTGTGGGGTTGTAGTGTATAATCATTGCTGGAATTTATTGGGATGCAGCTCTCCATTTTCCAGAGAGAGTTTCAAAGTTTTAGTTCAAAAACTCTCATCGTGATTGTGACTTGGATGATTTAAATAAATATATTTTTTAATTTCTTATGAAATATGAGTTTAGGTCTCGTTTGGGAACATGTTATTTTAATAATTTTTTGACTTTTTACGAAAAGATGTGCAGAAAAGTAGAGAGGTGATGTGACTAGTTTTAGTTGACTTTTTGACTAAAATAGTCAGTCCCCAAACGAGGCCTTATAAGTTAAATTTAAAGATATGTGATAATGAAATGATATGACTTAAATAAGATAATAATTTTTTAACTTTTCAATTTTTTTAAATTATGACAAATAAGATCTAAATTACTAAATTCTTTACACAAAAATTAAGGTCACATTTAAAAAATAAATAAATAAATAAATAACATTCAGCACACTTTAACAAACGATTTTATTTTAACATATCTATTAGAGATGGTCTGCCGTAAGCCTCAACCCTTTGCCCAAATGGAGGTGAATATGCTGCACCAACTACCAACTAACCGATGCTACTGTTTTGAATTGTTATTCTTTTTCCCTCCTGTCTCCCTTGTGTTTCAATAATGATACAGACCACTAAAACATCACCACTAACATCACCACTAATGATGTGACAAGCCAAAAGAAAACAAAAAAAAACAAAAAACTAAAACACAAAACACATGTGGCTGTGGGTGGGACCCACTGCCACATCCCTAACGCAACCACTAATTAGTGGTCTACATCATTTTTCCTCGTGTTTTCCTCTCTGTATTATCATTGCTTTCAGTGTAAATTGTCAAAATGATTGACTAGTTGGGATGTCAATTATGCGTTCAATTGACTAATAAGAACACCAAACTTGCATGTGAAGTTCACCCATTTCTCCACTCTGAAAAAAACATGGATATAATGAGCTCTCAATCAGTCTGAAGACCATTGAGAAAGAGACACGGGTAATTATTCTAATTGCTCATTATTATGAGAAGAAAAATGATTTATAAACAATTTTCTTATTAAAACAAAAAATCATCTAGAATGATGTAATAATGACGTTTTTAAAATAATCAATTAAAATATTGTGTGTTTTGATTTGAAATGAAAACATCACGAGAAATCATACTATTCTGTATAAATATTCTATTACAAAATTATATTGTATATCATTATTCCGGCAAGAAACATAGCATTTTTAATTTTGCTCTCTATTCTTCTTCATTTCCTTTCTCAAATTCATTTTTTAGATGCAAAACAAGCAAAACTATGGACTTAATGTCTTTATTTATGTAATACAAAATAATAAAAATATTACTAATTTATAAATTATATTATTGACAGTTGTAGGATCATATTATTCTAGATGGAATCACCATCTATGCACAAACAAAAAATGAATGTAAAATTTATTAATTTGTAAAACCTAATTATTCTTATTTTTCAATCATTTGAATGTTGAAGGTCTCCCAAACAAAGCAATGCCTCATTGAACATTCTTTTGACTATAACTGATTTTCTACAGTAGTTGCTTCAAGATCAAACATTTCACTTCCTCCCAGCTATTGTTGTCTCCCAATAGAAAATAATCTTGTGACCCCTTGACCAAACTAAAAAATACAAGTAATTTCATTTCTTTTTTCTTTTCCTTGACAAATGAATTCACTTCAAAAGCATATTATGCTTCATGGAGACCCAAGCAGATCATATAAAATTAAATTAATATATCATATATATATATATATATATATAACTAAATCATATAGTAGTGGTTTTTCACTTACTAACCATTCAACTCAAAACACAACAGGGACAAACTCTTCGGCATATGCTTTATGCTTCAAGTAGTTTTTCATCTTCCCATCTAATAGAGAAACAAATGTTTCCCTCATCTTATAAATATGCTATGTACTTGGTAGCTACCTAAGAGTAGAATACAAATGCCTTATTAAGGTATATAGCAAGAATTATATATATATATATATATATTGCAACTGTGGGAAGAAGTTTATTTTTGAGTTATGCTAGGGACCTCAAATAAATTATTAATTTTTTTATTAAACCTCTCACATGAGTGTGAGGCCCATACACATGTGATTTGCATGGGTCCTACACCCATGTGAGAGGTTTAGGAGAAAATTTGATAATTTATTTGGGATTCATAACATTTTCCTTTATTTTTTGGTAATAAGGGTATCCAACCCTTTGTCCTCACGTAGGCTCCTATCCCACCCACTAGATAATTACTAGTCGCGTGCCTTGAGGGGCCCCAAGGGGATTAGACGCTTTATGATTATGGTATTCAAACTCGTAACTTGAGCTTTCTGAGAAACTAATTATGCTCAACTTGTCACTCGGTTAACTCCGGGCTTAAATAAGGTAACAACCTCAAATGCCATTTCAAAACAAGGCATGGACATAAGCTTTGGCTTTGGATGTCAGATTCCTAGGTGGTTCCTTTCAATACAGGGTTTTTCATCATTCTATTTTCTGTCTTTTATCCTGAAAGATGACAAACTTTGAGGATATCGAATATTACATATTTAAAATCATCTGATTTGTCTACACTTGCCAAATGGCTCCAAACAGTCTAATGAATATGGTGGTTGGTTGCAGGATTTGACCAGAGTCATCAAGACCATGCCCAACTAATAATGTAGGGACATCAGGTAGAACCAGGTAGGGTTGGGTACTAATCCTGGTTGGTTTTGTCCTTTCAACCTGGGTACAAAACTATATGACTTGAATAGGCTGAACAAAAGTTGAAGGACAAATTTCAATCAGGAGATTTTATTATAAAGATGCATCTGATCTCATAATCTAATT